CTGACCTTCACAGCAGCTTGAGCACGCCAACATTGTCACCAGGACTTGATTTGGCAATCAGCACTGGGGAACTGAGGTTCATTTTGGAAAAATGAAGCCCCCCGGGCAGGGCACACCACGTTTCCTTGACCACCAGGCATGCTTCAATGCAGCGCAGCCAGCCTCCGCCCTCCAACCGCAAAATACAGCAATTTGTCAGCTACCAGGTGACCTCCTGCAGGTCAAGCCCCACCACCCACGCAGCCACCAGTGACACCAGAAAAGCCCTAGCAGGAGGGAGCTGTGGAGGAGCCCCCCAGAGCTGGGCTATTCCATTTATTCAGGAACATTTGGAAAAGGGGGGAAAGCAGAGAAGCCCCAAAGTTTGCTGCCAATACACAGTTACTCAGGGCAGCCAAAATTCAGGGTTGATTATGAAGAGCTACAGAAGGGCTTCACAAAATCCAGCGAGTGAACAGTAAAATAGCAGGCCAAGAGAACAGCCCTAATTGCGCACACAGGTGCAGGCTCCAACACAGCCAACAGTGCTCAGGAAAGAGATCAGGAAGCCACCGCTGGTGGTTCTGCAAATGTCTGCTCCCCGCCCCTTGCCCTCGGCTCAAGCCGTCACCTGATGGCCGAGTTGGTGTTACGAACTTCTTCCTCCTCATCATCATCGTAGTCATCCTCATCGTCAGAGTACTGCTGGTGCTGTCGGACTGGGACCCGGCTGCGACCCACTCCTGCCGCAAGGTCCTCCTCCTCCTGCAAAACACCGTCGCTGATGGCCTGCCGGCAGTGGGGCAAGGAGGAAGAGCCACGTCCTCGGTCCAGCCGAGCACAGGGGACTTGCCCCTTCCGAGAGGAGACAGGGGACTGTTCCCTATGCTTGCTCAGTTTACCCACATTAATGCTAACCTCTTTTACCCTCTCACATTCCAGTCGGGGTGAGTGCAAGGGCAGGCAGGCTGCAAGGCAGGGGAAGGGCTTAGACCGGCTGACAGCCACAGTCCCATGGAGGTGAGGGACTGGAATTGAAAAGCTCAGCTCAAGTCAGGCATGCTGCCGGCCTGGAGCTCCAGCCTACCTGCATGGGGGATTTGGCGTAGTTGTGGTTATCCAGGAAGGCTGGCAACCTCTGCACGATGGGGTTGGGGTTTGCTGACGGCGCCCCGTTGATACTACTCGCTGACGTCTTTGCCACCGGTTTGGATTTGCTGGGCGGGCTCTGCGTGGCCGCAGGGTGGCCCTGGCTGGCAGGCTCATCGGTGCCGTCTGCCATACAAGCACAGCACAGCCTTTCATGACCAACACCATCACGTTTTACTCAATGTCCTCTGCCACCCCTTGCCCACCCCACGTAGCAGAAGAGCTCTTATGCTCCACCAGACCATCACACCCACTTCCCTTTCCACCTCCAGTTGTCACAAGTGTCCCCAAACTTAAGCCCTCCCATTTTCAAGCTCCGCGTCCCTCCAACGCTTCTCCCAGGCACAGAGGCATCTACCACACCCCAGCACAGTGTGCACAGAGCTGGGCTTGGAGAAAAGAAAGCGAAGCTGACCATAAAACTCCCTCAAGCTCCAGGTCAGCCAGCCATCGTCACCAGCCTGTGCTCGCTCCACGACAGGCCAGGCTGGCTGGCTGGCAACACCACTGGTACGGGGGTCTACCTGGATGGGTGCTCTCTGGAGTCACAGTCTTGCTGCTGGCTGGCTTTGCCTCTTCCGGAGGCTGAGACTCCTGAGACTTCTGGGTATGGATCAGCTCAGGCTGAGTTACTCGGATAAGCTTGAAGGCAAATGACAGATAGAAACTGAGTGCTGGACCAGGGTGACCCAAACCATATCCCTCCTGTTGAAGCACTGCAGAAGGAGAACTTGCGAGGCTGAGCCAACTGCCGAGCACCCACGCACACGATCAACCGACAACACCATGGACAACCTCCCAGGTGAGCACCAAAAGGCAAAGCAGCGAGGCTGGTTATCTCCTCTTCCCAGGAGGTATTTCCCAAGGCCAAAAAAACCCATAAAATCCAGGGCCTCTACAGCACAGGGTGATGCCCTGACAGCAGAGCCTATTCCCACCCCAGGCTCGCACTCTCTCAGGGCTTGGGCTGTCCTACCTGCTGCAAGGCCTCCAGCACAGTCTGGCGGTTCATCTTCAGGATGTGCAGTTTGGACTCGTACTTCATCCTCCGATCAGGCACCACCGCCATCAGGTTGAAGCGGATGTCGTGGTACGGCTCCCTGCAGGAAGGGACAGCAGACATCAGCTGCGAGCTGGCAGTGGAAAGCCTGTCCCCCAGCAAGGGGGGTCAGCAGGCTGCCAGCCATACCCCGCACACCTCCTGCGGGCTCTTTCCAGGCAGCGCCTCCCCTGCCCTGGCGTTTAACACCAACACACAGGAGGCTTTTCCCCCCAAACCAAGCCAACCTCACACTGGCTGAAGAAGCAGAGCAAGGTTACTTCAGCCTACAATGCAAAACACCCTTCACAGAGTCACAGGTTGGCTGAGGTGGGAGGGGACCCGTGGAGGTCATCTACGCCAACCCCCTGCTCCAGCAGGGTCACCCATGGCTGGTTGCCCAGGACCACATCCAGACGGCTTTTGAGTATCTCCAAGGATGGAGACTCCACAACCCCTCCGGGCAACCTGTGCCAGTGCTCGGTCACCCTCATGCCCCAGCATCCAAGAGGCCCAGCTCAGGACCAGAAGCACCATTCCTTCTCCTATGGACACGAGCTAACAGGGATCTAATCTGGCCACTCTTACCCGCATGGCCATTTGCAGGGACTCTGCATCGCACAGAGTGCGGCTTCTCTGCATGCTCTGAAGGCAGGCAAACTGCAGGCAAGAGAAGGCAAGGAGGCAGCGCACCTGCACCCTTCCCAAGCAACATCCTCCACCCCCATTTCCACAACTTGTCGCACATAGACCACAGTAGAAACAATCCAGGGAAAAATGGCGAGGGGGCAGTGCCTGCACCACGGCCTGGGACATTACCCTGCAGTGGCCAGGCCGATGCGCTCCATGATTACTCTCCTGGCTTTGTCCGTCCATTCCTCGTCGTCAGCCCACGGCCCTGTGATAAGGGGACAGAGCCGGACTTAGCAAAGCAGGCCAAGGCTCCTGCTTCAGACTCACAGAGCGGATCCTGCCATCCCCACGAGAGGCAATCTCATGGCTCCCTTACATACCAGGGAGCAAGTCAAGAAGGGGCCCAGGAGGCAGAAGGACCACACTGTCAGCCCATACGTGGAACCCCCTGCCTCTGCCTTCCGAATGGAAAACGTGAGTTATCTGCAGGGCAGAAAGGTGAGATTTGAACCCTACAGACCACAAGCAATTCACAGGCTCTGGGCTCACAACGTCCAAGGAAATCCCAGCTCCTGCTGGAATCCGCCTGCCACTGGATCTGGTGCCATGCTTCAGAAACCCAAGTACATGAAGGGGTACCTTACCAAGGGGCCTGACAGAAGCAAAGTCCTAGAGGGGATAAATAAGTGTCTGAAAGACAGGACTAGTGGTCAAGTTGTAAGAGGAGTAACCTGAGCAGCCTGCTGGGATCTGCACTGGGACCTTGTGCCTCAACACACAGCCGTTATTTGGCACAAGGAGAGGGTAAGGAGGACACAAACACTGCTTGCGATACCGAGTTATTTCAGAGCTGCAGAAGGACCTCATGACCCTGAGCAACTGGGGAGGAAAATGGCAAGGCTGGAAAAAGCAATGCAATGCTTTAGCAAGAATTGCCTTCTAGACACAGTCCGCAGCGCATAGGCTCCAAAACCAGCTATCAAAACTCAGGACAAATCTGGGAGCCACTGGAGTGATTCTCCACAAACATTAGCTGACGCTCAGTGGCAATGAAAAATAATACATACTTTTGGACATACCAGGGTGTCTATTCGACTGTATCGACGAGTAGGGACAGGCAGGCTCTTACCGTGGTCAATGGGATAGACCTTCAGCCCGTCCAGCTCAAAGAGCCGTCCCTTGATGGGGACGTAACTGACAAAATGAAAAGCCTCCATGGTTCGCACAGCGCTGATACCATTCTGCTTTTCCGGCAAGTGCCGTGGCTCCGGCCTGCGAGGGCAAGAGAGGCGAGAGGTCAGTGGAGAGTCTGCCACCTCCAGCGAAAGTGAGCTGCGAGACACCCCCTCGCTCACCTGGCATGGCTGTTATGGGCCTTGGCCAGCTCTGGGGCATTGCCGATGGCATAGCCTTTACTCTGCAGCAAAGAGCAAGAGAGGAAAACAGTTGAGAAGTGACAGGAAACAAACAAAATGCTTCACCCACCAGCTCCCCGCTCCCTCCCTCCATCCACACACAGGACTGGGAGAGCAACTTTCAGGCACATCCTCTGCTCTGCTGAGTTACAGGTAAAACCCAAGATGAAAAGAACACACAATTTCTGCTAAATAAATTACAGTTAGAGAGAAACGCAGACTTCAAGATAGGTCTGAAGGTAGGAGAGAGGACTTTTAATCATAGACTTAGAGAACGCGCCTGGGCTAGGGAATAACACGGCAGAAGGCTCAGAGCTATGCCCAGTATAAGGGGACCAAGGCTCTGAGCAAGGCAAGGTAGGAAGACGAGAGAGAAGAGGCAATACTGACGTATTGTGCAGCCACAAAGGGCTGGGAAGGAGCCAGCTTGTCAGAGCATCATCCTGAGAGGGTTACGAGAGGCAGCTTCACATGCACCACCCATGCACAGCCCTGCACTCCTCCGCCCCTACCTCAGGGCTGAATCCTTTGGTGAAATCCTTCATGCGGCTCAGCGTGGGGCCCAGGTCGACATTGTTGCAGTTCAGGAGGACGCTCAGCAGGGCATGGGTGGCACAGGAATTGGGGATCAGCTGGAGGGTGACACAGGGACCATCTTAACCAGCAGGAACAAGGCAACCCTTTAACAACCCCTCAGAGTCAACAATAATCAGTTGAAAAGTACTGAGGCAAGAACCACTTGTGAGAGCAGAGACTTGACCTCGGCTCTTAAAGGAAGGGAGGAGGTCAGTCTCATTTAGTGAGCCACACCATGCCCCCACGGGCATCTGCTCACAGAGCAGGCCACAGACAGGCTCTCAGCTCTCACTAAATTCCCTCCAACCTGGAGCTCAGGGCAGAGACTCCCAGGACAGAGGAGCTGCCCTCAGGACCAGCAAGAGCAGTGCAGCCTCTCAGTACCACATTGCTTCCCTGAGGTGCCACACGAGACACCGCCCCCCTCTTTCCCCTCGCCTCCAGGCTACCTGGTGAGCAAAGAACATGTTATTAACGATGTCATCGTCGATCACCGACGTCTCATCCACCAGGGTAGAGACCTTCCGGCGTGATCTGCGCTCCTCAATCCACTTGAACAAGAAGATGAACCCATACACAGGGCTGCGGAGAGAAGGCAGCAGCTGCATCATTTTGGAGGGACCACACCAGTGGGGCTGCTCTGCCCAGCGCCAGAAACCTTCTGTTCCAAGCCATGGGCAGAGCAAAGACAGGGAGGGAAGGCAAAACCACCAGTCCCATCTTTCTGGAAGTGAACACCCCTGTCACCCAGGACACTCTCCTGTGCTGATGCTCCAGGCTCAGACAACAACCGAGCTTGAAAACTTTGGGGTTTGACAGGTCTTAAAAGGCTCAAGACAGAGAAACAGGAGGTGAAATCCACCTCTGGAAACTGACTGACCTGCAGAAAAGTGCCTGACCACCAAATGACCCCTCCTTTTACACATACGTTGTCTTCATTTTCAGCCATCAGACAATGGCTTTTAAGAAAGCGACAGTCTCAAAGCCATTTTAAAGCACTGAGACAGGGAGAAAGCCCACACTGCAAGCACGCCAGCTTGGCACCGCACCTCTCCATGAGGAAAGGGAGATGAATCCCCTGAAGTATGTCCCCCACCTGCCCCACGAGGTCTTTCTTAAGGCATGAGATCACCCGTCTGCCCCAGACCTGACGAAGCGCTCCTGGCTCATCGCTTACAATACTGACCAACAAGCTCACACGGGCCCTTCTGGCCACCTGGCAATGAGTTCCCGGGCCCACAAACACGTTCTGCTTAACAAAACTCAGATTTCCATGCCTATGACTTACCCTTGGCATTTGCTCTGCAGATCATAAATCTCTTCAACCTGCACTCCCTTGACCCCTGCAAACAAAGGGCAGAAGCTGGTGTAAAGCCCACCAGAAAGGACTAGGGGTAACGTCAAGCATGAAACCAACTTCGCAGGAAGGCTTCTTGTACTCACCAAAATCTTCGACCAGGAGTGTGAAGAGACCTGAAAAGGAACAAAACCAACCGGTTACTTCTGGCTGAAGAGAGCAGAGAGGAAACCTGCTGCCACCGCCCCCCGAAGGTCCCACGTGATCACAGGCCAAGGCGCAGCCAGAAAAACTGCAGCACAGCAACACCGGGATCACGCTGACTCCCCAGCAGCAGAGCTGTTGAGCCCTGGCTCGCTACGGAGGTGCTCTGGTTCCCTTCATCCCTCCATCCCCATTCATCATCCTCTTCCGCAAGAGGACCTGAACCAACGCTCTCCCGTTGGAGCCAGATGAAGCTGGACCCACCTTCAGCATCCTGACCATTGCAGATGACCTGCCAAGTAAATCCCCGCCACGACCAGCAGCAGGGAGCACCTAAACGACACACGCTCTTCTAACTGGAGGGAAACGTGGCTGAATAGATCACTGGATATTTTTAAAAAAGATCATTTATGTTCTTGTTAGCAAAAGGCACCAGTGAAAGGAAAGCCACCTCAGAACAACAGGGCTGCAGGGGAGCCTGAGGGCCAAAAGGCTCGTCTTCATCTCTCTCTCTCCTGGGGGACCAAATCCAAGAGCCTGTCTCCAGTGAGTACAAAATTCCCGCCACAGGACATAACCAGGGATACAGAGACAACGGCAAAGGGACCGAAGGATTATGAGACATCAGCGACTGAGCAGCAGCTTCCACTATGATGCTGTAGCAAAGGCAGTCAGCCCCATTTTCAGGCGGTCCCCCCGCACGCAGAGTTAGCGAGCTCGAGACTGGAATAATAAATCTGCTTCTTTCGCTCCCATATAAAGGCTGCTGAAAGCCTGGGAGGAAGTCCAGGGAATATCAATAAGAAGGATTCAATCCTGAGAAACATCCCTGTAAGCAAAGGATTTAAGGAACCTGATGTAAGTGGCTCAATCGAGAAGGGAAGAGCCGCCCAAGGGGCTTCCACACCAAAGTTAAAATAACTAAAACAGGGAGGAAACTTCTGGGGAGCAAAAAGTCTCCGTTAATTTAGCAGAAAATGTCGTATTTCTTACAAAATTGTCAGTGAGAAGAACCACGCTATGGAAATAACGCTTCGGACCAGTGACAGCCTCCTTGCCGTGCAACACCGTTACACCAAACCCCGGCACCTTTCTGACAGAGATGTTTTTGCTCAAAATACTTGATGCCCTGGAGGGCCGTGTCGTACAGGTGACATCTACAGAGACCTCAGGCAGCGCCGCAGCCTCGCTGCCTCCCTTGCAGCAACCCCCTTAGGGCAAGCGGTCCTTGCAGACCATAAGGGTCTTCAGATGCTCATTACAGCCATGGTTCTTGTTCCCTCTTTAGATGGCGTCCGTTACGGAAGCGGGAGTCACAGCTGTTTACAGTTACAGTCTCTCAACTGTAAAAGCTTCTGCAAAAGTCGAAAGCCTTGCTCACTTTCCAATCTCAACAGTTACAGTCTACTGATCACAGCAAAACATGTGCGACGCGAGATGTGAACCGTACCACAAGCTCTGCCTCGCAGTCAGCGAAGAATTGCATCGGAGCGAGGCCTCGCAAATACAAACAACCGTGAACGCCAAAAGCAGCGCGGCTCCTGCAGGTGCCACCAGAAGGAGAAGACCAAGCAGGACTTCCAAGCTCGCTGTGGCTCAGCCCGGAGCACTCCCACATCTCTGCAGCAGCTCTCCAGGACCGTGCGTCAGACTGGCAGGGCTGCACCGGAGGAGATGGGAAGTCAGCCATCGCGTGTTTTCCTCCCGTCCGATCAACATCACCGGGGAGTCAGAGAGAGGATGAAGCCAAACTCCTCTGAGTGCACCGTGAAAGGACAAGAAGTGACGGGAACAAGCTGCAGCAAGAGAAATTCTGACTACGCACCCGGAAAAAAACAATTCTTCGCTACCAGTGTGGTCAGCCCTGGGACCGGGGCGCAGAGATCTCCTTCTCGGGCATATTCAAACTCAACCAAACATGGCCATGAGCAACCTGAACTACCTTTGAAGTTAGCTCTGCTTTGGGCCAAAGACTTCCAGGCTCCCTTCCAACCACGGCTTTTCTCTGATTCATTTCAACATTTTGTATTACCTCAGCATCCACGAAAGGCATAGTCCTGCTGCTGCTATCACTCCTGGAACACCCAAAACCCCCATCCCAAATCACTTGGGTCAGCTGGAGGAAACATTCTGGTGTCCGCAAGCACACGCAACGCTACGCCAGCAGTCTGGAGGTTCCCAAGGCTCCCCTCTCTGCCCAAACAGCCGTGGCAGACATGGCCAAATCTGGATCTGCCGACCCTTCATGACAAGTAAAGCACGGAGAGCTTTCAATCCCAAGCCCCGTGGCGAGGGCTGGGCAGCCCATGGGATGTGCTGAAGGCCGAGAGCAGCGCGCGGTCGTTCCTAACCGCTCTCCCAGCTGCCGCCTCTGTGTCTGAACCTCCGCACGTCCGAAGGAGCGCAGCTGCGGCGTGCAGAGAGCCCGCCTCTGCCCAGACAGATTATCTTCCAAGCAAATAACCTTCCCTCCCAGGTGTGAGAATCCAAACCATGTCCTGCCTTCGGCATCGTCATGAAGAAGAAGGGGGAGGATGGGAATGATTTTGGCAACTCCCGAGTGCCGGTAAAAAGAGGATAAAGAGCAGCAAAACCTGGGCTGACTGGGAGACCAACAGCAGACAGAATCCTTCTCTGAGCGCAGGAAGACAAGTATAATGCCAGGGGTCCAATTTCCTCACCCACAGCCTCAAAAATACACCACCACATCCCAAAGACCAGCTCTCAGCCTCCCAGAGGACCACCCCATGTCACACTACGGCAACTCAGACACGTTAAAACAACGCTCAGCCAATGCCCCAGCCGACACCGGCTTTGGCCCTCTAACCCTAACCCGCAGCCACCACAGAAACCACCTTCTCTGACACAGCGGGAAGGGGACGCCTGTGACCATCCTGCTCCCGGCTGCTCAGGCGCCATACTGGGTTGTTCAGCAGCTTTCCTGGGCTACCTGTGGGTGAGAGTTTGATCCACCTGCGATGACAGGATCTGTCACACGTGGGACAGAGACAGCACCCTCACGTGCTCCCGAGTGACAGGCACATGGGTTCTCCTCAATCGCCCACGAAGCTCTGGGGTGTCAGAGCTGTTTTCTGCAGCAAGGGGTATCCCATATGCAGGCTTCTCCCTGGACTTCAGCAATATTTCAGGGTGTATTTGCAAACGACAGGAATGCTTCATGCTACACCCTCGCAGCATTTCAGGTGTTTTCCACAGAGACCCCTGAGCTTATCAGATCGCACACACATACAGGTGTCCGGGACACCTCGGACCCCATGTACAAGTGCTACCAGAGCCCAGGCCCACTGTGAGCCCTCACAGTGCCCCTGCAGCCCTATTCTCCCCATCCCTGCCCTCATCCCACACCTGCACCCCTACACGCAGCCTCCTGACATCCCCTTTTCTGTCTGCCCTACACCTCATAACCTTCCCTAAGTCCTCCATAACCCCCCCGAGCTATGTCCCACACACCGTGACCCCGCACAGCCCCCCTTCCCCCCCAGGACCCACACTACTCC